CCATGAGACTGCTCTGTGTGTGTGTGAACACTTCTTATTGCAGGTTCCTGACATCTCCAGTCCATTGTCCTTCTGCTGCCAAATCACACTGAGTTCACATGTTCAGCCTGTCTGGGTCTTCTATTGTTAAGTGTTAATGTTCAGTCATTGGGGTTCCCATGGTTTTTTCTGGGTCTTCTGTCAGTATGTTGATTCCAGACAGCTCTTGATGATGCCTTCATCTCATCCCAATCAGCTGTGGGATCCAAACACCTCATGTCACTCCTCTGTTCTAAGAGAAGTGTTTTCACTCCTCTGCATCCAGTAGGTAACAATACCAAATCAAATTGCTCAACTGAGACTCCTATTGTTCATAAAAATATTATAGAAAGCTCCCACTTTCATCACTTTCTACCGTTCCCAGCCCCTTGTTTGCCCTGATGCAGAATCCAGCTGACATCTTGAACTTGGATCCCAGCCCAGTTCTCTACCACTAGACCATGGGCTTACCCCTTTTTGACTCCCTTGCATATTGAGGTATTTCTGTTACTTATTCAGAAGATACCCCCCAATGTCCCTCCCATTCTCCATGACCAAAATAATAATCTGGTCTTGAGGTAAGATAATCGCCAATTGCTTAGTGATAGACCTTCTTTTGGTAAGAGGTATTGCTCTGTAAGCCCCTTATTGTCTTCTCTCCAGAAAGTGGAGATCTTCCATACCCACTGCTCCTAAGGGAATGAACAAAGGAAACTTGATGGATTAGTGTAATACAGGTTAAGTTTCAGTTGTCAGGTTTTCAGTGTTCTTAGAAAATTTGAAATCTGACTGTTTTGCTTTAACCTGAATCTAATGATTTCTTCATCTCATGGGATTTGGTAGTCTTTGGAACCAGTCCTCATCCTTTGATCTCACACATAAAGAACTCACTTTAAAATGTTGGCAGTGCCTGGTTGTTATGCCACTAGCTTCCTTGTTCTGTCTCTGTAGGCCCTGCAGCCCTTGTTCTCTACTGTACCTTCTGATGCAATCTTGCTTCCGTCTTACCCCTTTGTTAAAAATACTCATTCTATAAACTTAAAATCCTCTTTTTGGGTTGCATACTCCTAGTTTTTGAGGGATTTCCCAGCAAACCCTTTAAAGCTGATTGGTGTCAACTTTTTTTTACTGTGTGTGCAGCCCCAGCCCCGAAAGCCTCCATGCCTCCTATTTACTGATTTCTCTTTCTCTGTATCTTCTTTCCCCCCACCTGTCACTTTTTTTGATTGAGTCAGGTGTTTCCCTAAATGAATGAGGCTGTCCCTTCCCTTAAGGACTGAGCTTGCTGCCTTTATAGTGCCTGCCCTTGGCCAACCTTAACTCTTGAAACTTTCACCTCCCAGGTAGCACAACATAGGATGGTCAGCCAGAGAGGAGTACTTGAAAATAGTTGTTTTGCAACTGAAATTTCTGAGCTTTTATTAAAGTGACATTAGTGTCGTGGTCCTGCAGCACTTAAGATCATAAACCAAGTTCCATTCTTAGTATTTAAGTCATTTTAATTTATTGTTCAATATGTGAATAAAATGTGTAACTTTCAGACAAAGTTCTTGGGTTGACCCAAGATTAAACCACACAATCTGGTTCAGCTTTGCAATGGGCAAACTATCTAAACAAATTCCTTACTATTTATTTCGTTTAGCACTTCCACATGACAGCTCACTCTTCTTCAGTAGTTTTGCTAGAGCCTTAGCAAGCTGGCAAAATCTACAAAGATCAAGCTAGTTTGGGACCTCCTTAGTGAAGTTAACAGGCTTCCCCTATGAACTCTGTCCTACGTTATTATAAACAAGCTTAATCAAATAAGTAAATTAATCTCCTGTTTTCAGATCAAGAGTGATGGTTTATCTAGCGTGTAATCAGTTATAATTCAGGAGAAGCAGCCTCATTGTTGGGAACATATTGGGAGAAGCAAATAGTATAGATGGAAACTCAAGTACAGACTTAGTTGCTGAGGTTACAGATAAATAGGTAACCAGACAGGAGCATATAGAGGGATGGGAGCATGAAAAAAGCAATACTATTGACTTCTGATGTGTGTAGCAGGATGACAATGCCAAATTAGTGTCCTGTAACTGCCTCCCTGCAAGTCTTGTCCAACCAGCTGCACCAGGACTATTGTCTCAAAATTTAGGTAGGATGTAGGAAATCTAAAGAAAAACAAAAATAACTTGAGAATTAGAGGATGATCACTTGAAGAGAGACCGTGGGAGCTGAATTTATATAGTCAAAGAGATGACTTTGGAGGGGGACATAATCCCAGGAATGACCTTGGAAGATAACCATGTGTTGTAGGAAGGCAGTGCTTAATTCTCAGAAATTGGTAGGAGGAATGATCTGAAGTTAAGGGAGGAAAGTTTGGGCTAGATATTAGGAAAGAATTCTGAGCTCCAAGAGGGATGGTTTAGAACACTATCACTGCTGAGATTCAAGAACTGGTTAGACCAAAAGTTACTGAGGTGATTTGTGTGGCTACCAGGGTGGATAAAAATGAATGAATAAAAAAAAAAACTGTGTTTTTTTTTTTTTAAATTTAAATAGGTTTTCTCCCCAAAATCCGATCTAAAGATAGCTTTGAGCTATAATGTATCTTAATTAAAACTATCTCCTCATGGAATAGGGATTATAAATTATAATTCTATAGTATAAGACAATATATTCATGTAATGTTTAAGAAAAGTTTTGTAAATGAGTTCAAATAGTTCATGGATTAGGGACCCAATCTTATGGGTTTCCACAAGCTTCTGTATAGATTTAGGTTAATCTTTCTATCTACCCAATGGGACTCAGTGCTCAGTCTAGAAGATACCATCAGAGATGCTTAGTTTTGCGATTCTCAAACACAAATCTCCAGATTTGTTAACAGCAAAAATGTTTTTAAATAAATAATATATAGAGGTGAGAAATAACAGACCTCAACTCTATTGTCCCTCTGTAAATTTGTGTACACAGTTAATCCCTTACCTCTCTCTAAAAGTGCAAAGTTTCAAAAAGTTCAATGAATAGAAGATTGTTGGGGGCAGAATAGATCTGGACAAGGAGAAGTAGTCTGGAGATAAATGTGAGCAGCGAGGGACATATGCTTTTTTGTTAAAATATTATACGTTGAAGAAAAAAAATCCAGAATACTTAACATTGTTGTTTTAGTTAAATAAAACAATTTAAATGTCTGTCTGGTGATGTTCTCCTCCTAATACAGCATGGCAAGAAAGTCCTCCAAATATTAATGATTAACCTGTTGAATTGGAGATAGTACACCTCCCAGTGACTTCATAAATATCTGCTTCAATTACCTTTGGTAAATGAAATAACCAGACAATCATTCATTTTCTGATATAGCTGCAAAACTAATCTGAAAAGTTTTCAAAATAATCCCTGTTTAAAAATGTATAGTGTGTCCCTTCTAAAAATGAAACCTACATCTATCTCTGAGTTGTGAAGAATATGTATTAAGGTTATAACAACCAACAAGAATGCACTTCTATGTAGAAAACCATGATTAAATCAAGTCTTCCTGACTAGTGATTTAAATCATGATTTAAATAAATTTGATTAAAATCAAATCCACCCTGGTGGCTACTTTTTGCAAAATGCGGGGAGCAGACAGTATTACACAACATTGCCAGAAAAGCACAGTTATCTTTGATTCTGTGTCCTCCTACTGCAAGATTCTCAAGTAAACACCCTAGAATTGCTTCCCTAAGGGGAAAATTAAACTTATTCGTTAGGTAACCAAGAATTTATCAAACATATCAACTCATGTTTTAGGGGTGTGTGACATTCTTCAGTGAACTGATTAGACGAGGTGCTTAACATCTACAGGATTAGACAATCATAATGTCTATCTTCTTCATACAGAGCTCTTGTTTGTTGTGTGCAATTGTGCCTCCTGACACACAGATCTTTGCTTTGAGAAAAGAAGTATCTTACTTCGGAGATAAATTGGTCTGTCGTCAGTGACTGTTTTGCAAGTGCGGTCAAGGGTTCTTTAAGGTACATCTCATTACATGCTCCTGTATCTAAGAAACATCTGACCATTAATCTCCTCTCTGTGTCATAACATTGGAATAATGAGCATGTTGGGTAGAACTGGTAGACGGTGAGAGGACAGCAGAACAAAACATAAAGGTAAGATAACAGGTGTTATAAACATTTTATTCTAAATTAAGTGTGCTGTATGTTTTTGTCAGTGAAGGGATGATCTGTTCTATTTGATAGTATTCATTGCATGGGCAGTCTGGTAATGTTGCAGTTCATTGTTTGCAGAAATTCAAAATGAGGTAGAAAAAGACACAGCTCTTAGGTGACATTATATCCTAAATCGTGCTGGTTCAGTATCTGTTCTGATGTCTGAAGATAAGTCCATATCATAGGGAACTCCTAAATTGAATTACTTTCTCTTGTTAAAGACAACATATTTGTACGGCTAAGTCCTAAAACTCCTGGGGACATGCTACTCCAAACTCCCATGAAGTCAGTGAGAAGTTGGAGCATGCAAAGAATGCAGGATGAGGCCCTAGATCATGGGTAACCAATTATTTTTTGTCAAGGAGCAGACTCCAGAGAAAATACAAAAATAATAATAAGTAAATAGAAAGATTTTGCAGTGCGTTCAGAAGCATCTGTTGGTCCAGATTTGGCCTGCGGTCCTCCTATTGACTACCCCTGCCCTAGATGAATCTCTGTGCTGGTGGCAAGTCCAGGCTTGACCTCGCTGTAGGCTGAAGTCACGCAACAGCACTGGCAGAAGCAGTACAGACTTCCCCTTGCAGTGCTAACTGCTACTGCGCCTTGAGCCTGCACTAAAGGGCCTACCTTTGTGGTGAGAAGGGGAGAGTTCAGTTTTCATGACTCGTTCAGGCCTTGTTTTCTCAGTTGAGACTGCCTGTAAGGGAGTCAGTTGTGATGATGATTTTTGTGTGTGTATGTGCTGTGCAAACCTGGAAACTGAAGCTATCAATTCCTTCAGTTCTAAAATAAAAACTCAGAAAAAATTATAGTATAGTATGGCTTTGTATATGCATCTGTAGTAGGGTTGAGCCGGGGCTCTACCCTCCGAGATGGAGGGGTGCCACACCGGCTCACTAAAGTGCAGACCGTTCAACCTCAGGTCCCGTTCCGCAGGGGCTGAGCGGCTCACAGTTCCAGAGCTCAGGCCCTTAGATAGGGGCTGAGCGCGAACTAACCATCTAAGCAGGCCCGGGCCCTGGATCGGGGCAGGGCAGAAACAGTCACAGCTCAAGCCCTTTTGGGGCAGGGGTTGAGTGAACAAGCAGGTAAGTAGCCCAGGCCCTGGAGCAGGGCGGGGCACAAGCAGGTACAGCTCAGGCCCTTGGTTGCAGGGGCTGAGCGAGTCAACAGTTACGGAGCCCAGGCCCTGGGTCAGGGCGGGGCACAAGCAGGTACAGCTCAAGCCCTTTGGGGCAGGGGCTGAGCAATCCAGCAGTTAAGGTAAGCCCAGGCTCCTACTTGAGCATCGGGTGAGGGGGAAGCCTGCCACCCATGCGGGGTGGCAGGGGGGAACGCAGGCCCACCCACTCCACTGTGTTCCAGACCGGGGCCCTAGCAGCGATTACTATCGCTGCCGGTCAGTGGGGTATCCTGACCGAAACACACTGCCATCGGCTCGCAGGCCTCTGCAGTCTGACCGGGGTCGGCTACCCCCGGGCTACTTCCTTGTTCCCCCTCGGGGCTTACCTCGGCGGTGATGTCGGATTCGGGCCAGTCCAGCAGCATCGGCTCCTCGGGTGCGGTGCTTGGGGGCCGGTCCGGCAGCTCTCCCCCAAGGTAGCTGGTCCGGGGCAGGCTGGGCCAGTCCTCCTCGGGACAGCTGGTCCGGGGCAGGCTTGACCGGTGCGGGGGGGTAGCAGGCGGCCTGCGGCTGTCTCCCAAGCGGGAGCTCGGCACGGGACGTCTGCTCTCTCTGGCAGCCTCGGCCTCACTGAGCTCTGCTGGCGGGCTTTTATACTTCTGGGTCGGGGCTGTGACCTCGGAGGGGCGGGCCCCGGACCCGGTGGCTCCGCCCACACTGGGATTGGAGGAAGCTCGGCCCTGTCAGAGATGGAGGGGTGCCACACCGGCTCACTACAGCATCTTAATTTAATAATAATCCATGTACAAACTCTATTACAATTGTAATTTAAAACCATTTACTCCAGTCGCTGTTCTTAGACTTTCTGATCAAATTAGCAAAAATGATGCATTTTTTTGTTCCTTATTGTGCTCGTGGATGGATCTCTGTTCTCCTTTCTTTCTGTATGCTCTTGTGTATAGATCTTTCACACAAGACATAACCCCTAGCCCTCCCCTCAAGTAGCTAGATTTCATGGAGGAGGTCTGATTTCACAGTCTGTGACGTGTTTTTCATGGCTGTGAATTTGTGTGTGTGTATTACATCTGCATAGACTAAGTGTCTAACCATTCAGTAGCTGAGGGAAGAGCACTGTGCAAGTCTATGAGGGAATCAGGCAGCACTTACCGGTGGGTATGGCCTGCATCTTCTGACTGGCCACAGCTGCAAAGGGGAGAGTCAGAGACCTCAATAGTCACTAGCAGCACACGTTAATCACTGCATATGTGAAGCAATCGAGCTTTACTTAAAGATGTTGGGAAAGGTCAAAACCCGGGAGCTGGACTGTTGGATCTGTCAGAGATAGGCATTGGTAAGGTTAAGATTTTGTCATGGTTTTTTTTTTTTAGTAAAAGTCATGGACAGGTCACGGGCAGTAAACAAAAATTCACAGAGGGCGTGTTCTGTCTATGACTCTTACTAAAAATAACAGGGGGAAGGGGGGAAGCTGACAGCCCGTGCCCCGCTGCCCAGGGGGTGGGAGCAGCTGACAGCTCCAGCCACCCAGGTCTGAAGTCGTGGAGGTCACACAAAATCACGGAATCCATGACCAACTCATAGGCTTAGGCTTTGGCTATGGAAGCTTGTTCTTGCCACCTATTCTGCCTCCTGAAGGTGATGTCAAGGTTCCTTAGGGGATTTGTCCAAAAGGGATTGCCTTGAGCTAAAATGGTGTCTCTGTAGATTAAACACATCTTTAAAGGGGTAGGTGTGGCACGTCTTGCACTGTAAGGAGCAGATTCTGCAAGGCAACTTGTCACCTGTGTCAGAAGGGGCAATGTTGGACAGAACCGACAGCCAGGCCAGATTTGTCAGGTTCACAGTACCTGTTATACACATTGTTTTGTTCAGCTGAGTGTCTACTAGTCCTGTGTGAAAAGAGCTGAGCCACACTGGGAAGCGATATTCTGCTACAGAATAGTACAAGACAAGCCCATATTTCTCTAGTTTGGTCTGCCTACCAACTTAAGTCGGTATAACTACGTCACTCGGGGTGTGAAAAATCCACACCCCTGAGCGACATAGTTACACTGACCTAACCCCGGCGTAGACAGCACTATGTCGACAGGAGGGCTTCTCCCATCAACGTAGCTGCCGCCTATCGGGGAAGTGGAGTCCCTACGTCAATGGGAGAAGCTCCTGGTGGCATAGATAGTGTCTCACTAAGCACTGCCATGGTGCAGCCGCAGCACTGTAAGGGTAGACAAACCCTCAGTGTCTGCACATTGGCTCTCTAGGTGATCCAGCTGTTTTGCTGATCAGGTTGTGTCTTATTTTTGGCAAGGCTTTGGTAAGATGTTCCTTGACTTTCAAGGAACGGTTCAATAGTAGAACACCTAGATACAGACTTTGGGTTGTAGTCTTCCTATGTCCATTCAGGAAGATGCGGCGTACTATGCAATATATTGTGAGATTTATATGATCTATGATAGAAGCTATCTATGTACTTGTATTGAAGATGGTACTTATATTGATTGATCATGCTTTTCACCACTGAAATATGCTTTAACTTCCTCAGTTGGGGGATCCATTGGTATGTGACCTGTTATTTCTATTAGCAGTTGTGCTTTTGCTACAGACTTCCTGTGTGACCTTGAGCAAGCCACATAATTTTTCTGTGCCTCGGTGTCCTCATGAGTAGAATGGGTCTAATCTGTAGAATAGCTGTGAGACTGCCTGTATTGTTTGTGTTGAAGCATTTGGTTTTGCTGTAGTTGTACCCTCATTCTTCTAATTTGAATGCTTTTGCACAGCTGTCTGACCCGTACTTGGTCTCACTGATTGCGTCTTGTCTAAGTGTTATGGATTTATTGTTTGTGTAGGTTTTATACAGTTTTAGATGACTTGTGTAGATTTAAGGATGATCCATTTTAAAAATCACTTTGGTTGCACATAGTGGGTGTTCAATTATCTCTTGACTCTGCACACTCATTTCAAATCAAAGGGTAAGTCACTTCACATTATCTTAAAAACCTTTTCTAACCTGCATTCAGCATTGTACAGAGCTGTCAGAATAAAGAGGTCAGATTTTCACTCCAGGAATAAGATCAACAGGAACTAGTTATCACAAGATAAATATGAACTGACTTTCTCCATTGGGGGGGGGGAAATTGACTTAGTCAAACCATCTGAAAAATGCTTTTGGTCTTCCCTCCCTCCGATAGTCTTATGATGGGAGAATAGGATTCTGGAGCCAAGAAACCTTAAGAGCTTGATGCTCACACAGTCTCCAAAGTTACTGTAGCATAAACTGGGATGTTTCAGGAAGCAGGAAGAATGAACAATTTGTTTTTTATCTGCTTGTTGCTATTCTCCATTTTCTCTTCACTTTTGTTCTTCATTGGGCTGCCATTCACAGCAATACCAGCTAGTGTAAGACTCCCCTCTGCAGCCTTCTGCACAATGCAGTTGTCAGGCGCTGTATAATACCAATGCCTAATAACCTGGCCCAAAAGATGCTCATTTTCTCTCAGCTCCATCCCCCCCTGGAGAGCAGCCATTTTGCCCTGGCACATGACCTGGAGACTTACATTTCTTGATTCTGGAATTAAAACCTTGATCTTAAGAACAGTAATCCCTGCCAGTAATAGCCTGACTGCTGCTAATGCTTCAAATATAAGCACTCTTTCCTGAGGTCTGACTAGGAATAATTTCTCTTGTTTTCGATAAGGGGAGGTTCAGTGTGATGGAAAGGTCTAGTTCCTGACAATAACTTAGAGACATTGTCCAGTTAAGTTAAAATCCAAATTTATTTATTCATACCATAAATTCACTTTAAAAAATTGACTTCTCCAGTTATGTTTGTTTACACTTTCCAGGCCCAGTGAAACACAAAACTATTTAGTTTAACTTTTGTTTATAGTCAGTTTCATGTTGACTCCTATGGTTAAGCACAATTTGAATTTGCAAACAGTACAGGGAAATGCTTGCATCCAAACTCCATAAACAGTTTTGATATTTGAGTGTCAATTGCCTGATATATGATGAGGGGAAACTAATATTAAAAACTTACGTTTTGTTCCTAAACTACCTTAGTGTTTCTCTTTAAAGAAATCGGAAGCTTATGCAGGCTACCTGGGCTTAGAACAGTGTCTCTGGAAAGCTTAAGTGGCCTACATAACTATTCACGTCAGTTTAAAAACTTGGCTGTGATTCCTGTTTTCAGTGTGGACTTGAGGAGATTTTGCATATATGAATGTGCAAAATATTTTATATTTCAGCTAGATTTCATCTGAGTTTCATGCTGAAGCACTGATAGTTCATGTCAAAACAAATTGTTATACTTTCTTTACACCTTTCTTTGTGCTGTGATTGACCTGCTTCCAAATGGTTTTTTGAGCAATTTTTCTGTTAGCGGGAGTTAGAATGATCAGAAATAACTAAGGGATAGCTTACTTTGAGAAAAGAAACAGCTGCTTTTGGACTGAGTTTGACTAAGTTTTTTCACTCTTACTTTAGAAGATAACTACTTCTGAAAATTTTACCCTTCAAATGACTTAGTCCCAAAATACTTCTGATAATTTCCCCTAAACCTAATGATCTTTTGGCTTAATTTTGTTTATTTCATAGCTCCTTTAATTTTTTTTTTTTTTTTAAAAAGGGAATTAGAGTACAAAAAAGATGTAAGATTGCTAAACATGGGCAAAGATTTGTTAAGTGGGATTCCAAAAGGCAGATGTTGGAAGCTTTGAGTTCTCTTATCCTTTTCTCTTCCTACTTGTCACAGTTGCCTGTAGCAGTTGTTTTTGTTCCTACTTTCCCCTTGCAAAATGTCTGAGTTAATACCCAACTCATATTTTTGACTGAGCCTTGCCTTAGGGTGCTTAACTAAAATCGACAAGCCCCCAAACAATACGAGCGAGGCTGCTGTTTCTTTTCTCAGATCTTACCAAGTGTGGTGCTGTACTTTGTTTTGTCCCTCTAAAGGATTTCAGATGGCTTCCCAAAAACTGGGATAATGAAGAACTGCCAAAGCGAACTCTTTGATTCAGGTGTCAGAAAGCACTTGGCAGTCACCTGAAAGGAAAAGTAGTGGTGCATTGAAAGAATTAACCTGTATGATAAAATGTTCCCTAGGGGAACAATCACTGACCTGGATCACGTCAGAACTAATATTTTAGGGGGAAATTGCTTTTCCCTGTATGCCCTTTCTGGAAATAGGAGTAGTTCACACAAAAATGTATTGAGTCAGAAGGAATGAGGTGAAATTATTTTCATTTTGTACACTCACAGGTATGTACAAGTGTTGTGGTGATCAGCGTACTGCAGAAAAGAAGTAATCCGATGCAGAAGATCAAAACTTCTTAGAAGTGAGTACCCCCTGCCAAAAAGAGGATACTAGTAAAGGCCATCTGAGGCCTACAAGAGGCACAGCCTGCACATGCTATATCAGCATGTGGGACGAAATCCAGGGTGTATTTTGAGTTCTGTAAACAGTACTCATGATGATCTCACATTGCAGGCCACACTGATAACTTGGCCTGCAGTGTGCAGGAGGTCAGACTGGATCATTGCGAGGGTCCCTTCTGTCCTCAAAGTCTGAGTCTTACTTGCCATAAGCTTGGGAACTGCACTTAGCAAATACAGTCTCTTCTGCACTCCCACGCCCCCAAATCATCCTGGGTCACAGTGTCAGGTCTGTGGGCTGAACCCCTGGACTCTCCATCTTTGTTCTCCAGTCAGTGCGGTAAGATGCAGTGATCTGTTTTAGAGGTGATTAGGGGACCGCCTGTCCCATGGGATACTTTCTGCCCTGCAGCTGAGAACGTGATGGCTCAGGGACAGGAAGAGGAGGAGATGATGATGATGAAACTGCCATGCTGCAGGGATATGTAATGTAAGTTAGAAATGAGACCTGTTGGACCATCCGGTCTATGTTGGTGCCTGTGCAGGATGGTTCCCTCCCTACAAGGCTGTGTGGAAGCTGAAGATGGAGATGAGTGACAGTGACTTCACCTGTATATGGTGCCACTGTAGATTTCGCTGCGTGTTTTAATGTCCTCAAAAATGCCATTATCTTTAATCATATTAATGTGGATAGTAGCACTTAATATTCTTTCATCTTTGTGTATGTCAAGAAACCCTCAACAACACTGATAGATTCTATTGCAAAGAACAGCTTTATTTAAATGTGTCACTGAAATAAAATTAAGTCTATCAATACAGGCTGAATGTAATGATTGTAGCTTTCTGCAACTTTAAATGAAATCAACCGGAACTGGCTGGCTGAGGTTTCCAAAAGACTCGTACTCTCTGAATCAGTGTAATTCTGCCATTGTAGTGGCCGGGCAAGTAAGAGTCCCTGCCCTCCAGAGTGTGCCGTGAAGCCAATCACCAAAGTCTCTACCCTACTGAATTTCTCTAGAGCAGAGCATTCTAGCTCACACCGCCTAAAGGTGTGTCATTGTGTGTGTGTGTGTGTGTGTGTGTGTGTGCGCGTTCAGTGGATGTAAACGTAAGGTTGCTGAACATGCTGGCTCATGGTGAAGGCTGTTTCTTTTGCTAATAGAATTCTAAAAATGTGTTCTCCCTTCTTTGCATCCTAGTAATTCCTGTTGGACACTGATGCAAGTCAGGCGCATGCATCAGTGGGAGCCTGCAGTAGGCTTTTTCCTGATCACCATTTAATGTGCTTTGTCAGTGTAAGCTGTAAATGAGCATCATTCTAGTTCTGGAAACCAGTGACACTGTTAATACAGACCCCAGTATTGCATACAACACAGCTGCATTACCAGGGTGTGCATGGAAATTAGCCAGCAGTGTTTGAAATGGATTTGTAGGTTGCATACTTGTAGGAAAAATTTAAAACTCTAAATTTCCTAGGTACCTGAAGACACACTTTCCCACCACTTTATTTAGCCATCTTATTTTCAAAAAGATTATCACTTGGCTATTAAAATTCCTGAAGGGCTGGAATTTGAAAGACATCATCAAAACAGGATATAGGAGCAAAGTTTTATTTTTCTTGTTTTGTAAACTACAGAAAATCCAAGTTGGTCACACTTGTATTCTACTGCTGGAAAACGTTTAGCACTGTTTGCTCTCCTTGGGTTTGTGTCAGTGTTACTAAAACGGAATTGGGACCATGAAGTTAAGATGCAGAAGACATTAGGTTCAGTCCCCCCAATTTACAGCCACTAATATTAAGAGGGCACTGAGTTTTTACCCTAAAATACAATCTGCCTTAAAAGCTGTTTGTTTGACTCAGGGGACTACTCCCCTGTAGATCATTTGTTCAGATCTGGCCCAGGTTGAATGGCCCTGTGTAAAATAAACTTTGGTCTCAGGCTTGTTGCTACTGAACGGACTTCCATGTCACAAAAATAACCATCACATTTAGCACAAATTAGAATCTTGCTGGCCCCTTTGAGATGGCCTAGGACTGAGTAGGCAGTAGAGACTGAGATATACCCTCTCTTCCCCTTGGAACAGTCTTGTTCCGGAGGGGCTGACTTAGTAATAGGAGAAATATACTGGCAATTCTCCTGACCAAGGATTTCATTTAAAGGGGTATTGACAAAGAGTTTCAGGTATATAATTTGACGTTTAAATTGTCAGCACGAAAAATCTTCTGAAGTCTAGATCTATAATGAATATGATCATTTACGCATCACTGAAGAACAAAAATAAATCCACACTAGCCTCTTTTGGAAAGTCAACAGAAATCTTTTGTGCTTACTCCTGCTGGCCCTGGAGCAGCAAGTTTGTTCTCAGAGAGGTGCCAACATTGCCCAAGGATGCAGGCCAACAAACCAAGATGAGTGGGCAAGGTAAAATGAAGGTGTTTGACTAGAATTGAGGTATTGCCTTGAGGCCAATGCTAGTGTCTTGCTGCACAGCTGCAGGGGAGAAGAGGCGATCCCAGTGTCAGGCTGGCCTCAGGAGTGATAATGCAGTGGCACAATGATTATGGATGCTTTTTAAAACCAAATCAACCATGTTAATTTCAGCTATTGAACCTGGGTGAAAAATGTTAGTGGGGAGCTGGTAAGGAATTCTTATTTTTAAGCTTCTGAGAGGATATGCTAGGTAGTGGGGAGTTTGAAACTATTTGTGATCAACATCCATTAGAATAGGCTCCTGGATACTTTGCAAAACTTCATTACAAATAAGTTTTTGGCTCAGTAAAGATGAGCAACTAGGTTGGAGCTGGAGTGCAGAGTCCAGAATAGTGCAATCCTTTGCCAAAAAGTGATGAGACTAAATATTTCTTCTTCCTTTACAAAGTTAGTTATTTAGACTGCTCCAGATCCATTAATTTTGCTTATTGTAAATTTGTCTGCTACAGAAACTGGATGGCTTCTACAGTGAGTGTGAACTTGGATAAAGACACGTCATTGGATGGAATACCACCTGCAAAAAAGCCCAGGTAAACTTACTTGTACTACATTGACATTGAAATATTAGTAAGAGGCAAATGATGAGAGCTTTTTTTCCATGACCCTGCATTCATTTTAGAAAGGGGTGTGACATCTGGCACTAAGCCTCCGTGATCTTTCCAATGCTTGTCTGACAATGTATGCTGTCTTCAACAATCCATTATTACCACTGTTTTCTTGTCTGTGTGGATAAAAATCTGTTTCTTTGGGGGGGGGAAATCAGATTTTATATAAATTATATTTTTGATATAAATCCGATTTATTTTAATTACGTTCTTTTTGAAACTAAACCTGTTTAAAATCTGAATTTAATACAAAATATGTTAGTCTACTTATTATAATCTCTTAAAACATTTTAAATAAAAAATAAATATACTGACTCCACGAGCCTCTATCAAAAATGGAGTGAAAGGCTGCTTTTCTATATAAAGGAGGACTCGGGGGAGGGGGGCGGAATCTAACTGTAGAGGTAAAGCTTTATAAATATGGAACAATAGCTCTTGTACTGTATTAAAGGCTTGATCCTGTGAGAGACCCAGGGGTTATGCTACTGGGTGCAAGAGACTGGGGAAGTTATCACAGATGTTGGGACCTGACCTCTGACTTCAGGAGACATCATCATATAGCTCAGTGGTTCTCAAACTTTTGTACTGGTGACCCCTTTCACATAGCACACCTCTGAGTGCAGACTCCCCCCTTTCCCCCCAATAAATTAAAAACACTTTTTTTATATATTTAACACCATTATAAATGCTGGAGGCAAAGCAGGGTTTGGGGTGGAGGTTGACAGCTAGTGACTCCCCCAAGTATAACCTCGCGACCCCCTAATGTAGCTCATTACTGGGTAGCAAAAATATGTACCAAATTGAGGCTTTCCACTTGGTGATTTAAGTTGCCTTGGTTTAATTCAGTCCATCCTGTTTCTTGTGATGTTTTAACCTGTAGGACAAGGGAGTTAAGATTAAGAAAATCCCCAGGAACTGTTCCCTTTCAAAGCAGAAAAGGGCATCTGCTTTGCTTCAATTTCTTTAACTCCCTATCATGTTGGAGGATGCTTAGATATTAGCCAGCACTCAGTGTTCTCTCTGGGTTGGTTCTGTGGAAAAGTGTCTGTCTGAAGAGCTGTTGGAGGAAGTGTATTTAACGAACCTGACTTATTTATTGGCTGTGAGAAGGCAGGAGAGTGGGTGAAATAAAACTTAATTTAAATAACAATAAAAATATCCAGGTCTTTAACTCTTTGTGGGGAAAAAAAATGTTTTTGTTTTTCCTCCACCCTGCTGAATATTAAAATGAACAGAGAGGAAGCTGGGAGTGTAGGCTGGCTTGCTAGGAATGCAATGATAGAAATGCCTACTGCTTATCAGTGTGGGAACGGAATCTCTTTCCTGAGCTGTTATTGCTTAGAATCGTCGCTTTGTTTGGCTCATGCTCTGATACTCAGGATTTCAACCAACAGGATTCTGAAACTATAACAAGGCCTGGTTAACATTTCACTCCCATATGATTAGGGCAAGCTTGTTTCTTTTGTAGATGATGGGGGAGAATTGGGGTTCAGAATTAATCCCCTGAATTTTCTGAATAAACCGAATAGAGCCAGATTTGCAATGGCAGCCGTTAACACATACTGCACAAACCAAAGGATCAAACAGTTGTTTTCTCCAATGGCAGCTAGCACGTGGGACTGTGCGGATCTCTAACGAGCTTTCAGGCCAATCTACTGCTGTACCCCCACAACTTGGTACAGAACCTGCATTGAGACACAGGCACTGACTATGGGAATGTCTACACTGCAAAACCCAAAACCCCGCGGCAGCAAGTCTCAGAGCCTGGATCAGCCAACTTGGGCCTGCGCTACTGAGCTAAAAATTGCAGTGTAGATGTTCCTGCTCATGCTGTGAGACCTGTTGAGGGGGGAGGTTCTCAGAGCCCGGGCTTGGATCCCAAGCAGGAACGTCTGCACCGCTATTTTAAACGCCATAACCCAAGGCCGAGTTAGTTGGCCTGAGACTTGATGTGGAGGGGGAGGTTGCGGTGTAAACGTACCCTAGGTATCTCTGTATTTACTTCCCATCCTTGCCGAGTGTCAAGAGTTTACAGATTGTGTTCCTTTTGTATTTGGCCTGCTTCTCTTTGCAGTATTACGTGAAACTCTGTGGGCTCCCCTGCTGGGTAAACCCCGCTGTAGTTAGTGTTTTATCACCAGTGATGGTAATTCAATAGGGTGTTGATCAAATATGACTTAAAACATAGTACAGGTACACCGCCAACAAAGTAAGACAGACAGTCCCTCTATAAGACTCTGCGTGGTCCAAGCTTTGACTCTGCTCCTTTTCATGGCTCACCTAAAATCCAGCCATTCTTCTAACCTGCATTTCTAGATGGGGCCAATTGCCAGGATCTCTGCTGTCCTGCAACTAAAGTTACTTGACTTACTCTGCTTTAGAAATTGGCCAGGGTGATGGGGCATTTTGCCTTAACAGGGCTGGTAAAGGACCAAACTGTGAATATCTCATACCTATAGCTGGCTGTTGCTGGCCTGTAGAACTGTGCGTTGCCTTTTGAGGGAACTCTGTCACTTCCTGCATGCCAACCCCTTCAGCCTTGTCCATTGTCTCCTCTGAGTTCTGTGACCCGTGTGTGCATTTGGGACACTCATTTATGTCAGCACAAATGTGCTTCTCTCTTACCTCATTCCAGAAAACTGTTGCCAAGCCTTAAAACCAAAAAGCCCCAGGAACTTGTTCTGGTCATTGGGACAGGGATCAGTGCAGCAGTAGCTCCTAAAGTTCCAGCACTGAAGTCTTGGAAAGGGTTAATCCAGGCCCTGCTGGACGCTGCTATTGACTTTGATCTTCTTGAAGAGGAGGAGAGCAGAAAGTTTCAGAAATGTCTCCAAGAAGATAAGAACCTTGTTCATGTTGCCCATGACCTTATCCAGAAACTATCTCCGGTGAGTGAGCACATGCAGCAGGATTCATCAACTTCAATGTGTAGAATGTGGCTTTGAGAGCAAGGGGGTGGCCAAGGATTCTCCCCAGCCATTGCCCCCACTGGGCCTGGCTGGACCTTCCAGTCAAAGCTGGGTATTGCTCTCTCTGAAACCCATCCAGCGGTCCTGGGCCTGTCCTTGGGGCAACCTCAGGTTTGAGAGAGTTGCATGAAGTGGCTGCTCCCACCACTTAGTGTGCCAGGATCAAGGCACCAAACCAGTCTGGCTGGGATCAGTGAGATGGCTCCTCAGTCATATTAGCTTGATGTCTGTGGCCCAGAATGTCATGATGTTGGGGGCTCAGATGCCAGTTTGTCTGTGGAGATCAACTTGCTCTATACGCTGTTTCCTTACATAGCTGTATTGCAGAAAGTACCTGCTCCCTTAGCAGCCTATTTTTGCACTGCGGGAGAGAGAAAAGGTTGTTTTTTCCTTAGTGATTTACGGGTAAGCATGGTCTCAAAGGTGGTGCGGCTGCAGGGGGTAGCCCTGAGGATGTATTGTTTGGGGAAGAACGTGCTTCTGAGTTACGGGTTTTGGGGAGGCCTGGCAGCCACTGGGCTTGTTTCTGGGGTTGTGGGTTCAGATCCAACCTCAGGCCTTGTGCTCCTCCTTGCTGCTGCCACCAAAGGGCAGCACTAGAGGTGCTGCAGTTAAGTGTTCTATTTTGAATGATTCAATCTAGATCCCTTCTGCCTGCGTGCGTGTTCAGTAGACAGTAAAGATCCCACTGTACTTGAAGGAAAGAGCAGGGTGCCTTGCTTCTGGCTCCGAGCAATGAATGTATTAGACATGCCTGGACGGGCAGATGATGAGTTTAGTGTCCTGGCCGACATTCCATCTCCGCTGTTAATGCAGCCTTGCACTCTCTAACCTGAAAGCTCTTTCCTGATCACACAACTGCTGCTCTGTTTGCCTTACACATAATCTGTGCCCCCCGCTAACTCATTGCTTGGCAAAGCGCTTTAGGCTATGTATGTAGGTTTGTTTACTGCCCTTGTCCCCAGTGTATGAAAAGTGCTACAGGAAATCAAATTCCCAACTCTGACTTTGGTTTGTTTGATTCCCTCCACAGCGCACTAGCAATGTCCGCTCCACATTTTTCAAAGACTGTTTATACGAGGTGTTTGATGACCTGGAGTCTAAAATGGAAGATTCTGGGAAACAGCTGCTTCAGTCTGTGCTTCACTTAATGGAAAATGGAGCACTCGTATTAACCACGAACTTTGATAACCTGCTGGAACTGTATGCCGCAGACCAAGGGAAACAGCTTGAATCTCTCGACCTTACTGATGAAAAAAAGGTAAAAAATGTGTCAGCCAGGCTAAACATTCTGCTCTTTGTTCACACAAGTCATAGGTCAGTGGTGGTAGAACATCCTGCACCTATGTGAAATGTCATGCTATTGACACTGACATCAATTCATAGTGGTAGATAAAATACACCAGGCTGGATCATCTTTAGTGTTGTACGTTTAAGTGCCTCTGGGAGAGGGGTTGGTAAGAACAGTACATCCTTCAAGTTCTTTGCGTCCCAAATGTCGATCCTTAGAAATGCTGTGATTGCTGGCGGACATCCTTGTAACTCAGGAGAAGCCTCCAGGCATCTTTAACAGCTTTCGTACTGCTTTGATCTGTTGTTAGGACTCCTGGCTTTCAGTTGCCAATGTACTCCCAGCTTTATTTGACTCCAGGTGGGACTTGGCTTTAAGATTTTGAACTATGCGGGAAGCTATACACCCCAAACAAATCTGATCAGTCTTTTTAGATAAAACATATTCCTTTTGGGGTACATTCTAGAATATATATAATGCACACAGGGCCATAACCTTCAATTAACCCATCTACTTTTCTGTTTTTGTCTCCTTTCCTTCTCCCATCCACCATGTGGCTTCTTGTCGTCTTCCTGTAATCTCTACTTTCTTCCATGTAGCCCACCACTTTTCCTGGACCCCATCCCTGATCCACTTTGCCATGTGTCAGAACTCTCCTCCAAGTCCCTCCTTGCTTCCCCCACAAGGTTTCTGATCCCTAGTTCTTCCCATGATGGATCAGTCACCCAATCGACAGAAAATCCTAACTTTTATATTACTTTAACCAACAGCGCATTCTAAATTCCACCACTCAGTCACTTGGCGCTCTGCATCCTATTCCTGATCCTTACATTGTCAGTTTAGATCTTGGGCAAGAATGAGCTCTCCATACTGTCCATAAAGTGCCAAGCACGCTGCAGGGGCTATAGAAATAGTGTGAGTAGTTAGTGATTTCCCCCCCCATTAGGACTAAGTAAAATATACCACAGTTCAATCACATTTCTAAACTCCAGTCTCCGACATGACCTCCTAGTCCAGGGGTCGGCAACCTTTCAGAAGTGGTGTGCCGAGTCTTCATTTATTCACTCTAATTTAAGGTTTCGTGTTCCAGTAATACATTTTAACGTTTTTAGAAGGTCTCTTTCTATAGGTCTGTAATATATAGCCAAACTATTGTTGTATGTAAAGTAAATAAGGTTTTTAAAATGTTTAAGAAGCTTCATTTAAAATTAAATTAAAATGCAGAGCCCCCCAGACCAGTGGCCAGGACCTGGGCAGTGTGAGTGCCACTGAAAATCCGCTCGCGTGCCGCCTTCGGCACATGTGCCATAGGTTGCCTACCCCTGTCTTAGTCTGTACTGTTGGATATATTTGCAATGATACAAATGTAGCATTCTCAGTCATGGCAGGATTAAATAAGGAGATGAGGTGTATAGGAATGAATTTGCAAACATGGTTAGAAACTATGAAAATGTGATAAGGATTTTTTGTTGTAGCATACAAAGGCTAAACTGCTAAGCTTTCTCCAAACTGTTTTGAGTCTAGACTGGAAATAGAATAAACTTGTAGATTTAAGAGAAATGCATATTAAAATGTCAGCTTGTTTTATCCTTTCCTTGCTGAGTTCTGAGTCAGGATTCCACCTCTTCCTATCAACAGTGGGTGACCAGGACAAACAACTGAACCTCTGGTGCAAATGAGCATTGTGGCACCATTTTAGTCTGAGGTGTGACAAGCTGTATCCGGAACTCATGAGAGTAGGGACGTGAAGGAGAAGCTAACTTTTCAAATAGACTGAAATTCAGTACGCTCCTGAAAAGCTACACGCTGTTAATAACGTGAAGCAATTACTGAAAAATGATGACTGCAAGACGTGCAGTGAGGAGCTTGGGAAGAGCATCTGGTTCCCCTATGGAGAAATGACCCAAGCTGACCCTTGATGGGCTTTGGATAAGCACTGGCCTCCTGTGGTTTAGATGCCTTGAAGATGATTTGGGTTTGTTTTCTCCACATGCACTGGGATGTCTCTGCATCTCCTCCTCCTCCAGTTTCAGGAATGTTCCTTAACAGTTTAATTCCTGGAATGTGAGATTTGGCAAATGAAGACCTCAAGTAATGGCCCACTCTGCCCCCACTAACTTCTGTCTTGCCCAGGAACCCAAACGGATGGGCACTTCTTGCTGATATTCCCCAGGCTGTGTTTATTTTGTGCAGGTGATGGAGTGGGCGCAAGAAAAAAGGAAGCTCAGTGTCTTGCATATCCATGGAGTTTACACAAACCCCAGTGGAATAGTGCTTCATCCAGCTGGGTATCAGAATGTGCTGCGCAATACAGAAGTTATGGTGAGCTTCAGCCTGCTTGTGCCCCCCCCCCCTTTTCCCCTCCCAAGACACCTAAGCTGAGAATGCTTTGCTTATCTACTGTCTTGTGCTTGTTTGGCTGTTCCCTTCATCTTTTGGGGGTAATGGGGCTGGCTTTTCCAGCTAATATTTCTGCTTCAGCATAAGGTTCAGATTTCATGGAGTTCAAAAATGTTGCCTTGAAAGGGGCAAGACTCAGACTGTATTGAGAGGTGGAGTGTTTCCATTTTCACTGTCACTTGTTGCTCATGGCAGACTTGGTGTTGACTTTCTGCTGATATGATAGTTACCCTGAAAGACTGAATCTTCTCTGCCTGGAGGTAGGATTGGTGGGACCTATGGATAAAATCAATGTTTTCTACCTCCTGGCACTTGCATGTAAATATCTATAGATCTTGTGTGTCGTTGAACACTGTCCTTAGTGTGAGACTAGAATATATTTAGAATAGGATGTTCAGTTACAGGGTACAGAAACATCCAGAAACCCCCCTCTTGATCAAACTTCTCAGGCTACTAAAGCCGACCTTCCTAAATTCGTTGCAGAAAAGTGGAAGAAAGCTAATGTGGCTTAAAAAGGGCAAACGGGATGACCTGGATGATTATAGGCCTGTCAGTCAGACATTGATCCCAGGCAAGATAATGGAGCAGCCGATACAGGACTTGATTGATAAAGAATTAAGATGGTAATATAATTGCCAGTCAACATAGGTATATGGAAATGGATCCTGTCCAACTAACTTGTAACCTCATCAAAATATCAGGTTTGGTGGATGGAGGTAATAGTGTTGATGTAATAGACTTACGTAAGGCATTTGAATTGGTACTGCATGACATTTTCAGTAAACTAGTAGTATATAAAACTAACATGGCACACATTAAGTGGATTAAAAGCTGGCTAACTGATAGGTCATTGTAACTGGGGAATTATGGTTCAGCAGGTGTGTTTCTAGGGGGTTCTGCAGGGGTTGGTTCTTGGCCCTACATTAGTAACATTTTTATTAATGACCTGGCAGAAAACAAAAATTTGCAATGACACACAAATTAGGGGATTAGTAAATAACGAAGAGGACAGGTCACCGACACAGAGCAATCTGGAGCGCTTGGTAAGATGGGTGCAAGCAACTAATATGCATTTTAATATGGCTAAATGTATACACCTGGGCACAAAGAAGGTAGGCCATACTTACAAGATGGAGGACTCTATCCTGGGAGTTTAGGGTGAATCTGTGTTTAGGATGAATGGGTGAGTTGCCATGGGATAGTTCAGTTTATTGTTAGAGTTCCTAATTTAAATAATTGTAAGGAGCCTGGGATCTAAAAGCCAACTAGTGTGTAACTTGCACAGTGTGAAGGCTGCAATAAAACCTGCCCAAACTGCTAAGGTACTTTTTATCTTTCCTTTTTAAAGGGGGAGATCCAGAAGCTGTATGAAAACAAATCATTCTTGTTCCTGGGCTGTGGCAGGACTGTTGATGACACCACGTTTCAGGCCCTTTTCCTAGAAGCTGTGAAGCACAAGTCGGACCTGGAACACTTCATGCTTGTGCAGAGGGGAGATGTGGATGAGTTTAAGAAGCTCCGTGAAAACATGCTGGATAAAGGGATTAAAGTCATTTCATATGGAAATGAATACGCAGACTTACCTGACTACTTTGAGAGGCTAACAAGTGAGATCTCCATGCGGGATCGAACAGGTACATGGAGTGATGGGTTCTGTGGTGAATAGTAATGCACCACACCCTGGCATGCATCACCTCATCGCTCCAAGCCACTTCAGCAAGGGCTTCTGTGTTTAAATATGACAGTTTAGCAAGCTCTGAGGGGTTTTTTATAATGGTAAAGCCCAAGCTACCCATTCTCAGCCTTGAATCTCATTCAGATATTACTACCCCTTTCTCTACTCCCTTGGCGACACTAAAATACCAGTTAACAGAAGATTTGAATTACTGAAGATTATTCCTTTGGCATAATCTGTACCTTTTTCACATTTTTATTACTCATTGAATCATTTGTTCTCCCCAAATTATTCTGCTGAAGTAATGCAGTTGGGGTCTGGTTTCACTTTAGTCCTGGTTAAATGTAACTACAGTAAGTTGTTTTGGTGCTGTTGCTTGGGTACCGTACCTCTTACACATCAAACATGATTTCTAGTTTGTTTTATAGCAGTCGTCTTTTTCCTCCGCTCTACACCTTCAGTAAAATGAGTGATGGAACATTCCTGCAGCTGGATTGCTTGACCTGCAAATGACTTAAAATAAACTAGCTTGTGTCTCTCGCTGATGCTGTGATGTATAAAAGGCCAAATTTTGGGCTTTTTGCATTTACCTTTTAGAACTATCAGGGAAAGGAACTGACTTGCTGGAGGATAGCTGGCAAGTCTGATTTATGCTCAAAGAGCATGGTTGAAGGGTGTGTTTGAGTCTCCAACATTCCGGTGGGGAGGAGAAGCTTGTTAGTCCCTGAAGTTCATTGCCTGAGCAAAGCAATGCCCGACACTCAACTTCATGGTGTTTGTATGTCTAGTTGTCTATAAATCAAAGAATCATGTGGGGTAGCCATTACCACCTTCCAGCAGAACACCCCCATACCAGCTCTGCCTGTTGTCTAATAGTTTAAAATGTTGCCACCCTGACTTATTTCCCCTAGAGACAGGAAATAATGATGGGGGAAGAGAAGCATGGTGAGGAAGGGGGAATGGCCGGGCCCACGGAGCTCCTGGTATGGAGGTGTGCAGGGAATCCCTGAAGTTGGCAGGCATGGGAGGGTGGTACCCCAGGAGAGGGGCAGGGATGATGTAATGAGCTCTGCTTACAGAAACAATGCAGTGTATTGCCCCCTTCTGTAACAAGCCCTTTTCCCTTCCAACAACTCAGCTGTCTCTCTCTGGGTGCTTCTGTTCTCTAGCTCTCCAGTCATGCTGGCAGTCTAGACACAGGACCTCCATTTCCAAGGGGAAAGCAGATTGTTTGAAAGTAGCTCAGGCCTTTAGCCATCAAAACACCAGACGCACAAGCCAAATAGTTTCCTTTACTGGTCACCTTTTGTGGTTGTGAATTCTACATTTGAGCTCCCAGTGTGAATGGTGGCTGCTCATGTAACCTACAGTACCTTTCAGGTCTATATTTGAGATGTAAGATTGATCCTTCCCTTCCAAGGTGCAACTTCCAAACCACTCCTTCCCTCACTCTTGCACTGGGGGGCACTACCACAGCAGGAACAGGAAATGTTGAGTTCCCTTGGGTTCTTCACTGCTTCAGGTTTTGTTTCCTGGGGTTCTAGTTGGCTGTAGCCATACCAAATAACATTTCTTAAATGGTATTTTCTCTGTTCCCCAGGTCTGCCTAGAGAAGGACAGCTAAATGGCTCTTCTACAGCCCACACTGAAATCAAAGGTATGGAACTTACTTATGAAGCTCGAGAGAGATCATGGCAAAACTGATAATCCATTTGCCTAACCTGTGGGGCAGCTCTGGAGGTATGTCTAGAGGGGGGTATCCCAAAGGTGCTAAGGGTAGCTGCTGCTTGTGCATGGAGGAATGAGTAGTGGCAGCTTTGAGATGTGCAAGTAATGCTGGATCTGAAAACAGTAATTCAGAACAAACCATCTATCTTCCTCAACTGGCTGACATGGAGGGATGGAATTGAAAGCAGCTTTCACTGAAGGTTAGCCAGGGACACAGATCAAAAAGCAGCTTAAACGCTGCTTGCACCTAGTCACAAATTAACACTTACCCAGAAGGGAGCATGTGCTACTCTTCCTCTTCCAGGGGCTACAGCTGATCACTGCTACTGGTAGGATCAAAACTAGCACTTGGGGGTGCTGTGAGCAGTTTAATTAGGATGAATTAAATACTGTCCTAGACCTGTTTGAAAGGATATTTTAACTTTTACAGAGGGCACCTGAGCATCTACCCTTGCAGCTCAACTGATTGTGCTACTGGTTAATCTGAGTTAAAGACCCTGGCACCTACTGCACAGGCCTGTGAACCTCAAAGTCAGAATGAAGAATCTCCCCTTTTCAGTAGCTGGTTCTTGAGCAACTGGGATTCAGCTGTGATCCTGCCACTCTAAAACCAGCTAGAAACTACCAGACTTCACGTTGGTAGGTCCTGGCTGGTGAAGCCGACGTGTAGTTTACACAGCAGCTGTGATATCCTTTCTCTCAAGGTTGCAGAATCTGCCAGGAGAGTTTCTCTCTCTCTCTGAGCAGCAGCAGCCTGGGCAGTTTCATACCTTGTACTTTTGTATTCTGTACATTTCAGTGAAATGAAACTTGCTGTTTTTATTACTTGAAGCTCTAGTTTTCTAGTTCTTTCTTTATACTGTACAGTATTTTGTACGTTGAAGGTGTATTAAAAGCCTGCTTCACTTAGCTGCTTTGGCTTGATTCATTTGATTAGGGTGCAAGCTGTCTGTATAGACCTGGGACATGCTGCTAGCTCAGTTTACAATAGGGCTGAAGGGACAAATACACTAAATGTTTAGCTTGCTATAGGTTATGTTCTTGCCTATGCTGGTCAGGCATTGTGTCCCTCCAGCAAGAGAAACAACTTGTCTAAGGTAACTATATACACACCACTCAACTTATTTATGAAATTTATTTTTATATAAATTATGTATTTCTTTTAGCAGACAGCATTCAATTTATTGCACTATAGCACATCTGCAGTAGAGCTACAAGACATCTCAAGAGTTTTGTATTATTCAATGTAGCACTTTAGACCAGGATCTCTAGAGGCACTCAGAAGGGAGGGAGAAGGGGGGCAGGAAAGCAGCAAGCAGCCAGCATTGTCTTCCACTAAAGTTTCCTTTCCCTAGCTGGTTATTAGAGGCAGAAGCTAATGCTGTAGGGACAGCAGGCAAGAGTTGTGGTAGCATCACTTTGATCCTCAACACTGGTGAGAAAGAGGCATGAGTCAGTGGAAACAGCTTCTGAGGAAGGAAGGGGGTCTTGCAGTACAGAAACCAGCTCTATCCTATACCCTAAAGCAGTGTAGCTTGCCAGAATCCAGGCCATGCTCTTGCAGCTTAGATAGAGATATAGCTCTTGGCAATTAACAGTTCCAGCCTGGGGGGAAGTCTGCTTGCTATGAGCTGCAGTGGCCCTAGGCAGCCCTGCTTTAAGAGTCCCATTGACAATGGAACTAGGGACCTTAAGGCAACTTCAGCATTTTCCCTATAGGCCCCTGCTTGACAAGCACAGAGGAGTAGACTTACTCTTTTTGGTTTATCAACTTTGGTGAGCTGCCATGGTCAAAGCTAGCAGCGAGTATTAATCAGGTTGGAGACACTAAAACTGTCACTAAGCAGCATCTATTTCTGCTCTATGGAATGTGCAAAGCAAGCCTTAGAGCTCAGCGTAGGATCAGCCCCTGGACTGGGACATTCATACTCTTGGATCCCACTAAGTCTAAAAATCCAGATTGGCTCATAGGATCAAGAATACCTTTAACAAACCAAATAGTCCATAGATGGTTAGTTAGTAGCAGAGCAGCCCTGAAGTGCTGCAGGTCTTAGACACCACTCACAAGATATGAACAATACAAAGCTCTAATTTCAGCCTCTACAAAGCATGGAGGCTGAGTCACTTAGAATGAAGGAATTCAGGGGGACGGGCTTTCACTGGCTGAAGGGCACAGAGCTGATCTGGCCCAAGTGCTCCACCTGAAGGAGACAATTGCTTCCCAAAAATAAGCTTTATAGCCAATAAATATGGAAGAAGTGTAGCTAAACAGAGTAAGCAACATGATTGAAGACAGCAACCTCCTTCCAAGGTTAAAGTCATGCATCAGGTGAAGGGAGGGGTGTGTACTGGTGAAAACCAGGAGGAAGTATTCAAGCAAGTAGTGGATGCAGCAGCCCCTTGCTCTGTTATCCCTTCATTCTGTTTTGCACTACACTGAAAAGACAAGTCAGTCACATTGTAAAGCACGTTCTTCTGAGACATCTGCAAACAGCAATTTGGTGCAGTAATTGGATTTTAGGCCTTCATGAGAGCGGTGACCACAGCCTTGGCATTAAGGCTACGCAGGTCACAGTAGGTTTGTCCAGTACCAACAAACACGATTGGCTTGCTAGTGATGTAAGTCATGGAGATTGCAGCACCAACCTGTGGAAGAAAGATCATCAATTAGTTGGTTTGAGGAGATCTGTTGAACAGGACTCTGCCTGAATGTACAACCCACTCCTAACAAAAACATCATGTGATTGGCTAGAGCAGAAGCCTGTACACTGGGCATGTTGAATTTCCATTAGTGTTACAGCAAGTTGGAAGGGAGTTCTTCTGATAGACCACAGAACTTAAGGGGTTGACAGCCAGGAATTCGAGTTAAGATTCTAAACAACCTGAACTCCCTCTCCGCCCCCATGGGATAGGATAAATCAAAGCAACTCTGGAAAGTCCATCTCTGCTGCAAGAAAGACTGTGTCCAACTGGGAGACCAGTTTGTTTAGATTAGCTAGGGAAGTCTCTCTGGTATCAGGCAGATAGAGTTCCATTGCAAATGGAGGGAGCGTTTTACTACATTGAGAGAAGGGACAATGGTTCCCTGAATAGCCAGGTGAACTGGAGCAGGGTCTAGCTGAATCTGATTGGTATGCAAGAAGATGGTGTGACTATTTTAACTAGATGAGATGTGGCAGCTTAATGTTATGGTTGCCAGTCAACTAACTTCAAGTTGCCAGGTTTGTAGCTTTAGAATACAATGGCCTAATTGCTGTACGAAGGTATTATATTGCCTAGGAATTTCTTTAAACTGTATTCCCAGTATGTTCACAAGTCTGAGGGAGTTGCCAGTCAATCAGCACTTCCATAGTCTCACACTGAACAGAGAACACGTTCTAAAGCTGATACCTGGAGCTAAATAAACAGCCTGCTGATCAGACCTTAAAGCAGCTGCTTGTCTTCCTGGGCCACAACAGTTCAGAGCCCTGAATGGAAACAGTCTTTCAAAGTCAATAGTTGATTTGGCAGGGAACCAGAGCAAAGATGTAGCACTTAAGCAAATGTACAGTGCAGCTGAAATCTACCTGGGGCAGAGGCCAACACCCAATTTTTACCATGCATGGACTCCCCTGCCAGGCAGTGGTACTATGTCAAAACAATCAGTGCTTGTGTCTGTGATTCTTGCCTACAATCTGGGCAGGGAGGAGCTGCAGTGACAGACTCCAGCATGGAATCCCACTGGAAAGGGCAGCTCATCCCTCTGATTTCACCATGAAAGGGGGTGCAGTGATGGCCAGGTGCCCCTGCAGGAATCAGGCTTGTTGCTCCTGTGGCTCTGCATCATCTCCTGTCAGAACTAAATGCTGTGATAAGGCTCCCTAAGGCTGCAGAGGGCTTCTAGGAAACAGACTGATCAAACCACCTGAAACTTCACTGGAACAGGGCAAAACACTGAGCTGGAACATTACCATGAAGGGTTCAAGCACATCCTGGTGTAACTCAGGGAAGCAGCTTTCATAGAATCTCAGGGTTGGAAGGGACCTCAGGAGGTCATCTAGTCCAACCCCCTGCTCAAAGCAGGACCAATCCCCAGACAGATTTTTGCCCCAGATCCCTAAATGGCCCCCTCAAGGATTGAACTCACAACCCTGGGTTTAGCAGGCCAATGCTCAAACCACTGAGCTATCCCTCCCTCACTCTTCACTTTCAGCAGCCTTGGGCATTGCTTTGCCAGCCCCAGAATTGGTAGCGGTTGTGCAGGCTTCACCCCCGGACGCTCCAGGGCTAGGGGAAAGAGTCAAGTTACAGTTTGAGGATGTTGATAAATTGGAGACAGTTCAGAGTAGAGCCACAAGAAGAGCAATTAAAGGACTAGAACCCTGCCTTATACTGATTGTCTCAAGCTGCTCAATCTCTCTAGTTTAACAAAGAGATGGTTAGAGTGACTTGATCGCACTCTAAGTACCTACAGGGGGAACCAAACATTGATAATGGGCTCTTCAGTCTAGCAGGGAAAGGTCTAACACAATCGAATGGCCAGCACTGAAACCTGACAAATTCAGACTGGAAATAAGGAGTACGCTTAACAGTGAGGGGAATTAGCCCCTGGAACTCACCATGGTTTGTGGTGGATTCTCCATAACTAGAAATTTTTTTAATCAAGATGAGATGTTTTTCTAAAAGATCGGCTCTAGTTCAAACAGGAATTACTTTAGGGAAGTCCTCTGGCCTCTGTTATGCAGGTCACAGACAGTCACAATGGCCTCTTGGGCTTTAACCTATAAGTTTTCATATTGACCCAGCAGTTGTACTAATAGTAGGAAATTAAAAGCTCTAGTGTGAACAGTCAGAAGGGCCAGCAAAAGTAATGACCTGGTCATTCCTGACCTTAATTTCTTTTCAACTAATTACAGATGTGGATGGCTCAGCATAAAATGAACCATCCCCTGCCTTCCCCACCACCTTTTCAATGGAACTGTAGCAGTGACAACTGAAGCAAGGCTCTTAGTTCCCAACTGAGCCATGTTTGTGAAGTCCAGCACTGACACTAATAATTGTCAGAATCAGATACCGGTTGCTTAGGTCAGCAACCTCAAAGTTCAGAGGGCTCAAACATCTCTCCAGCAACTATCCCCTGCCTGGAAGAACAATGACACTTTGCCTTTCCAAACCCCCTGCTGCTAGGTAACACTAGCTGGAACTGGTGTGGAGAGTAAACCTTTTGAGCCAGTGAAGGTTTTTATACCTAACACACCAGTCCAGGGAAAAAAAGAGAGAGAAACAGGCATGCAATGGGCATCCTCTGAGGCCAGCACCTTCTCAGGACTATGCTGACATCCTCCACAGCCTGTACAGTTGAACTGCTGCCATCAATAAGACATTTGAGAGTGCAAGAGGTTTTTATGCTATACATTGTGCTGAGCTAAGGCAGTTTTCCCTTACACAGATTTAGAGCAGCTTTAATTTGCCTCAAGTTTTGGAGTTTGTTTTGGTTTTTAGTAGTACTGATCTGCAATGGGATTCCCTGGTGGGCCATTTGTGTCTTGCTTGTTACAGCCCTTCTAAAGCGATCTCTGTTGGGGAGCAATCGGAATAGCTTCAATTTAGACAACCAACCATTCAGATCTACAATAAAGATTCCACTTGCCCTGGTGCAATATTGTGATATTATCCAGCAGTCACCACCCACCCCAAAGTAGAACATGAAGTCATTAAACTACCGTATATACTCGTTATTTAGCCCTTTCGTTTATAAGCTGACCCCCAATAGCAAAAACTGTATGACCCTTTCATAAGCTGACCCTGTATTTCAGGGGTTGGAAAACTTTGGCTCCCAGCTTGTCAGGGTAAGCCGCTGGCGGGTGAGGATGTTTTGTTTACTTGGAGCGTCTGCAGGCATGGAGCCCCTCAGCTCCCTGTGGCCGCGG